CTCTTGCGCTTAAACGATTCTCTTGCCTCAGCCTCCTAAGTAGCTGGGACTACCAGCACCTGCCACAATGCCTGGCTATTTTTTGGTTCTAGTTCTCATTGTTTGGCAGGCCTGGGCTGGATTTGAACTCACCAGCTCTGGTGTATGTGGCTGGCGCCCTAGCCACTGAGCTACAGGTGCCAAGCTGGATAGTCTCACTTTTACTTGCATTATGGGATTATAATGATGTTAATACAAAAATGATAAATTTTTATATGAGGGAGGTAACATGGTTTTATGACAGCCTGACTGCCTGGGTTTCATTCCTAGATCTGCCACTTATAAGCTGTGTTACCTCAGGCAAATTACTTAACCTCTCTGTGCCTCAGTTTTTTTTTTTAATCTGTGAAGATGGGAGGTGATAATTGTACCCATAGAGGGTTGTTACGAGGATTAAATGGATTAAGATTTGTAAAAATACTTTCAATAGTGCGTGACCCCTGTAAAGTTTATTTAAGTAAAGTAAAGTTTCTGTGTTTGCTTAACTTAAAAAATAGCTTCCTTGCCAGTCAGCTACATGATCTTAAGCAAGAAGAAAGCATCCTGGATTAGGATCAGGTGACTCATATTGAGGTCAGCCACTGATTTGCTTTGTGAACTCAGAAACTTCCTTTAACCTTTCTGTGCCTTAGTTTCTACAACTGCAAAATTAGGCGAGTTTGATGATGACCAACAGTTTTTGAACAAAGATCAAGGAAAAAAAAATACTTTTTTTGCCCCTTTTTTTTATCCAGTAGAGTCTACTGGGGGAAATATTCCAGTGTGGTAGGTACTGCTTGGGCTGCTGTCTCAGCACCCTCTGGAGCCCACCTACAGGCCCCATGGAAGTGGTCTGGAGGACATACGTATTTTTACCTGGAGATGGGAGTATTTGGCCCAATCATACCCTTCCCTTGGAAGGCTGACCTGAAAGTGAGACTGGGATGAATCAATGGGTGCTCTGGCTAGAAGTTTGGGAACTCCCACTGCCGCATAGCATTCAGGTTCTTGCCTTTCCTAAGGGCTGTTTTCTCTGATCTTCTTGAAATTCCACAAGAAACCTTAGTCTCCTTCAAATAACCTCTGCCTATTTACTTAGGCTAATGTATCAGTTATCTATTGTTGTGTAATACATCACTGCAAATGTAGAGATGAAAATAATAACTTACTATTTCTCTAGAGTCTGTGGGTTTACTGGGTGGTTCTACTGCTGGTCTTATCTAGGAATATTTTGTGGCTACACTGATATGGGGAGGGGACTACTGGCCTTGACTCTGTCCCGTGTGGCCTCTCCATATGGCTAGCATAGGCTTTTTGACGGCACAGTGGTCTCAAGATTGCCAGGGGAAAGGCAGAATCTCCCAGTCCATTTAAGGCCTGGCCTTGGAAGCCCCAGAATGTTAATTTTTCTGTATTCTATTGGTCAGAGCAAGTCACAAAATCAGCTCTAATTCAAGAATTCAATAGACGCCACCCCTTGATGTATAGTATGGGTATACAGCAAGGGGCCAGGTGTGCAGGAACTACTAATATTAGTTTCAGTTGATTTCTAAGTTACAGTCCCCCCAAAATAAATTTACCTATTATATTTTATGACTTACAAAACTTCTACTCCCAGACTCTGATCTCATCTCCCATCATCTCTCAGACACACTGGCCTTATCTTTCCTCCAGGGGTGTAGATCACACCCCTGCCCCAAGGCCTTTGCACCTGCTAATTCCACGGATGATATCTCCTGCCAACCTGCTGACATCTCAAATTTACCATATCCAGAAACAAACTTTGGCTCCAGGCCTGTCTCTCATCCCTTTGTCTTCTCTGCCTAATAAATGGCACCTCCTTCTGTAAGCCAGAAGTCTGGGCATTTTCCTGAATTCTTTCTCTCAGCCCCACAGCCAATCCCTCTGAAAGGTCTGTTGGCTTTATCTTCAAAATGCATTTCAAATCTGTTCTTATCTCCCCATCTCTGATGCCACTACCCTGGTCTACGCCACCATCATCACTCTCCTGGACACCACTATAGCCTCTTGACTGGTCAATCTTCTTGTGCCTTTGCAATTATTGCTTTTGGCATCAATTCATTCTTCTTATAACAACCTTCTGTGCCTTAGTTTCCTCAACTGCAAAATAAGGGACTTGGGCAAGTCTGATGATGACTAGCAGTTAAGATATCTTAAAATACAAATCCAGCATGGCACTAATAATGGCTGTCTGTGACCCTGAGAATAAATCTAAACTCCCTCAGCTGAGGTTCACATTGTACTCTCTAACTGGTCCCTGGCCTCTCATCTCCTCTCTCTCTACTCTTCCCTATAGCGAGTGGAACAAAAAGGTACCAGCATTTTGAGGAACTTACTGGGAACCTGAACAATGGTTGGCTGCACTGTGTCTATGTCCCAGAGCTTTGTGGAAGTCTGAACTTAAGATTCATGACCTAGAGTATCTGGGGGAGGAAATTTTTAAGCCGCAAAGCTTGTGTGGCTGCTTTTAATAGCTTGCGGCCAGATATGGCAGCAGAGAAATGATCTAAAGGTAGAATTTAAAAGGGAAGCAGATGGAGAAGGATGGATTGCTTGACCTCCCAAGTTCAAGACCAGCCTGAGCAAGAGTGAGGCCCCATCTCTAAAAAGTAGCCGGACCTGGCTCAGTGCCTGTAGTTCAGTGGTTAAGGTGCCAGCCACATAAACCGGAGTTGGTGGGTTTGAACCTGGTCCAGGCTTGCCAAACAACAACAACTCAACAAAAGAATAGCCAGGCATTGTGGCGGGCACCTGTAGTGCCAGCTACTTGGGAGGCTGGGGCAAGAGAATTGCTTAAGCCCAAGAGTTTAAGGTTGCTGTGAGCTGTGACGCCACAGTACTCTACCGAGAGTGACATAGTGAGACTCTGTCTCAAAAAAAAAAAGAAAAAGAAAATAGCCGGGCCTTGTAGTGGGCACCTGTGGTCCCCGCTACTGGGGAAGCTGAATCAGGTGAATTGTTTGAGGCCAGGAGTTTGAAGTTGCTGTGAGCTATGATGTCATAGCATTCAACCCAGGGTGACAAAGTGAAACTCCATCTCAACAAAAAAAAAAAAAGAAAATTAAAAAAATAAATAAATGAAAGGGAATTAGAGCATAAGAATTTGGAATATTGGCTCGGTGCCTGTGGCTCAAGTGGCTAAGGCGCCAGCCACATATACCTAAGGTGGCGGGTTCGAATCCCCAGCCTGGACCCGCCAAACAACAATGATGGCTGCAACCAAAAAATGGCCAGGCGTTGTGGCGGG